ACACATCAAATGACGTGTATGATGAATATATGCCCACCCTGACCCTCGCTAAAGTACTTGTATGAATATGCAGCGGCAGACTCATATCTATATACTCAATATTAAACTCGATTTATTATTCCCGTGTTATTCAAAAATTTAAACAATTGAGTCACAACATATCTTGATCCATATCCCAATAGATTGAACAAGGACATTTCTATATTCTTTTTGTTCAGTGATGATTTTAAAAGCTGGCGTTCCTCTGAATATTTCACACACTGTAACAATACATGTTCTACTGTTTCCTTGCTATTACAATAATTACAATTCCCATTTTCATGCTTACCTATTATGTACAAAGAATTATTAAGCCCAGAGTGCCCCATTCTGAGTCTAGCCATAACTACTTCCTCCTTTCTCCTTACGCTCATATATTTATTATCCCCCACATCTTTTTGAATTTCATATAACTGTCTTCCGTTATCATTATTATCCCATTGTTCCTTCCAGTTTTTAAGAATTTCTTTTTTTACAATAGATTTTCCTTCACGTTTACTTAATCAATCAATCAATCAACCTTTATTTATACAGGTAAATCCCATTGAGCCTCGAGGACTCATTTACAAGAGAGACCTGAAAATGGAACATTTAATTGAACTATTTTCGACTTTAAAGCCTGTTTTGCCAGTATATCAACTTCCTCGTTACCTTCTACCTGCATGAGCAGGGATCCATAGAAATCTGATACAATATTTTTTTATTTTGTAGATGTAATAGTAATTGGTTTATTTCAAATAACAAATCCAATCTGCAGGATTGCCAGACCTTATACTTAGCAATGCTGCTTGGCTATCTGATGCTATTAAATACTGGTTTTCTCCCTCAATGTTATTATCAATCAACCATTGTAATGCTAATATAATGGCTGATAATTCAACCGTATAAATTGCTAAATGGTCAGCTGTTCTCCTCTTAAGCAAGACTTTATGGTGCGGGATATTAATTGCTGCTCCAGTTTTACCAGTTATTGGATCTTTAGATCCATCTGTATAAATAACAATGGTATCTGTATACTTTTCAAAGTACTTATCAATTACCTTCCATACTGGTGTCTTTGTTTTTTTTAATAAGTTCCCCCAAATGTAGATCAATGTCTGGATATATAAATAGCCATGGTGGAATTGAAGATTGAGGAGCTGTCATACTATATTGGAATTTATTTAAACCAAGATTTGTAGCTTTAATATTCCCAATCCATTCAAAACTATTACAATTAGAGTTATGATGTTCCCAACAGTCTTGGAGCGCTTGCTTAGTTGGATGATCTTGCTTATGTCCTTGTAGATTTATCCAGTACATATACATTAGCTGCAATCTACGTAAACGTAACGGAATTTCACCAGTTTCTACCTGTAGCGCCGCTAATGAAGTTGATCTAAAAGCTCCCGTACACATTCTCAGTCCTTTTGTTTGCTCGGTATCCAGTTTTCGTAAATGACTGTCTGCTGCTGCCATGTATGCTATACATCCATAGTCTAATGATGATCTCATGAGGGCCTGATATACTCCTAACAGTGCTTTTCTTGATGCTCCCCATTCTTGTCTAGAGAGACATCTTAATAAATTGTTAACTTTTTTACATTTATTTTGAACTGATTCAATATGTTGTTTCCATGTCAAACTTTCATCAAAAAGGATACCTACAAACCTCACTGTCTTTACCTGTTCAAGAGTTTGATTATAAAGAGTTAACTTAACATCCTTATGTCTTTTATAAAAACAAATTACCTTAGTTTTTGCTATTGACATCTTAAATCCCCATTTATTAGCCCAGTCTTCTACTTTCGAAATTGCCTTTTGCATCTTTTTCTGTAAATGTACTAGATTGCGTCCTCGCACCCATATAGCCCCATCATCTGCATATAATGATCTACCTAGTGTTCTATCTATTTCATCAAATATATCATTTATCATGATGTTAAAAAGAATTGGGCTACACACACTTCCCTGTGGGGTACCATTCTCAACAGAGTATTTGGCAGAGTAATTCATCCCCACCTTCACTTCTATTTCTCTTCCATACAAAAAAATCCAAAACCCAGTTATACATTTTACCTCCTATATCCATGTTCCTTAATTTAATCAATAATCCTTCCTTCCATAACATATCATATGCCTTCTCTATATCAAAGAACACCGCTATCACCAATTCTTTATTTGTTTGTGCTTTTCTGCCAACGTCATCTGCAACTCAGCTCCTCTGTAAGCAGCAACCTCCAGGCAGCCAATCACAGCTCCGTTCAGCAGTGTCTTCCTCCAGCTGCACACCTGGACACTAATTGGCACAATTAGGCTTTTGAACACACACTCATAGGCAATTTAAGACGGCAGTCGTAACATGCACATCCATCCATTATCTTTACCCGCTTATTCCATTTTGGGTCACGGGTGCCCATGTCCAGCAATCACTGTGCGAAGGGCACTTATTAAACAGACATGAGCTTTTACAATTTTATTATGGGAACTTTTTCATGTGATCTCCACTGGGGCAGTGAACCGACAATAATGAAATGATCACTTTCGTAGTGAAGAACAAGAATGTCTTCTGGAAAAAGTCACTGAAGTTGACTCACCCCCACCCCCCACTAAAAGATGATTTAAATAAAATGGAGAAAGGATAAGGATTTTCTGTTAGAAAGGATTCCAGTCAATGGACATTTGATGGTTTAATTTCAAATAGGAAACCAGAACCACATTTAAAAACATTTTAGGAAGAATTAAACAAAAATTTCATAGATTTTTTTAAATTATAAATAGTAATTTAACATGTTTTACACTTACTATACAAAAAAAGCAGATAAAAACATAATTTATCAAATAATTAATTACTTTTGCCTTACAAATATTTGATACACTAAAACATGAATAAAAGACAAAGGTCACAGATGATAAGTGTGGTCTGTTGGAGCTCTTGTGGTCTGCAGTAATGAAGCCTCTTCACGCCTGCAGCTCGTCCGCCCAGTGGCTCTGCAGCAGATAAACACACGTCAGTCCACCTGAACGCTGAGGAGCGCTTCCTGTTTGTAGGTCGTCCAGAAGCCCGGCTCACCTGAGGACTCGACAGCGTGATCTCCTCAAGGTCTTGGAAGCAGCCGTGTTTGTGACGGATGAGATCCCCCCACAGCGCCGGGCGGTGGCAGGATGGACACTTCCCTTCCACTGGCAGCAGGTGGGTCGGCTCCAGCCGGAGGAAGTACCTGGCGAGGCAGACTAGATGGCTGCTCATCCCACACACAGGCTGGAAGCAGCTCAGCTTCTCTGAGGCCTGAGGAAGAGAGAACATGTAAACACAACATGTCAGAACTGACCCAATGTTTAGGATTTCATTGTTAAAAGTCCAGATGTTTCTGAAGGCACCTGCAAAATCAGTCACATCAGGGCGACAGAAAATGTCACTTAATCCCAGTTTGAGACCATTTTTAGGACTAATGTAAGGTTTGGGTTATTGTTCACTGCTGAAAGGCAACAATGGACAATATGGGTTTACATCTATGTGTCTGTGTGCCACACATGTCTGTTAGCAAAATATCCCGTGAAACCATCTGTACGCTGGCTGAGCAAACCCAACTCAATTTCAATTCAGTCAAATTCAGAAATACTTTATTAATCCCAAAGGTAAATTAAATGTTGTAGCTCATCATCCTGGTTTCATTAAGAGTTGTTAGCTGATGGCTGTGGGCAGGAAGGATCTCCCACAGTGGATCCAAAGAATCTGGCTACAGATGCCGATCCGTCAACCTGGACTTGGCGGGCCTCTCGGTCCTCCTGGGTAGCAGGACCACCCGAATGCAAGGCAGAACTCTTCCCCGAGTGATGGCCACTCCTCCCAGCAGCCTGCTGAGCTCCTCGCTGCAGGTGTCGGGGGATGATCCTCTCGTTGTCGCGAGCCAGGTTTCCCGTGAGCTCCGAGATCTCAGCGGTCAGGTACTCATATTTGAGGTATTATTTGAGCTTTGAGATGTTAATCAGCTGCTCCCGGTTGTAAAAAATACCTTGTTGTCATGGTTATGCATCATAACAAATGCCCAAAAGCAAATTCAATTCAATTAAACAAACTTTATTAATCCCAAAGGTAAATTAAATGTTGTTGTAGCTCACCATCTTGGTCTCATTAAAGAGTTGTTATAAAAGGTTTTCTATAAAAATCCTTCCAGCCGCATCTGATCCCAGAGTAAATAATCCCCCCCCCCCCCAAAAAAAAAAAAAAAAACAAAACAAGATTGACATCCAGAAAAAGGAGGAATTACAGTTTTCAAAAGCATCATCTCAGAATGAAGGTAACAGAGCTGCTCCATCTTGAGCAGTGCAATTCTAGAACAATGTAGAACTTCAAGATGGTTGCCACAGCCTACTGATGTTAGAAAACACAAAGCTGACTTTAAATCAACCAGTTTAATAGAACCTGAGCTCAGATTTGGTGTGGTGGTGGCTGAGCGTCATCCCTACACATACGCAGAACACCAGTCAACCAGGCAAGATCTGTTTTTAAACCTCTGCCATTAACTCTTGATGATAAGAGTTAGTCCAATGATTACTTTCTGGAAGTTTCATTCAGATATTCTGAACACAAGAAAAACACGATTGTTTCTTCACTTTCTGTTAATAACCGTGTTTCTGGTTTAACTGGGAAAACAGCGAGTTTACAGCTGAAGTGGTGCATGTCTCTTACTTTTACCATCCTGTTGCAAAGAAAACACTTGGAGGTCTCCTCGTCCCTCACAGACGCCAGTAGCTGCCTCTTCTTGGCCCTCACGCTGCCAAACGTGATGGGGACGTGCAGGGGGGGCTGCAGACTGGGCTCGAAGTCCATCCTGTACTCCTGTCTGAGCCAGCGGACGGTCAGCGGCAGCCGGCTCCAAGGCGCCACCCGCAGCATGTTGGAGACCACACGCCAGTGGAACTGCAGGCTCGACTCCTTCCTGACGCGCCGAGCGACGTGATGGAGCCGCCGGGAGGAGTGGGGGTGCTGCCACGCCCACTCAAACTGACAGAAACACCAGAATAAAACAATTTCCCTTTATGAACAGAAACTTCAGGACATTTGTGCTTCTCACTCGTTAAGGCTGATGATGCTGTTCACACTTGGATTAAATAAATTAAATCTAATGTTTACTTTTGTTACAGCTTCTCTTCCCTTTTACACAGAAGTACAAGCTCTGGAAAAAAAAGATGGCTCACAACTTTAGGAGGATGTTCTTTTAGTCGTTACATTTTATATAAAAATAAAATCACAGATGTCGCAAAACTACCCAGAAAACCTCCAAAGGGAGGCGTCCACTTCAACGGTCTCCTTTTGATGCGGTAATAGCTCAGCAGCTCTACTGCGAAGCACCCCCCCCCCCCCCCCCAAAAAAAAAAAAAAAAGGCTGAGCCCGGCCACCCTGCAACAGAATCTCATTTCAGCCACTTCTAACTAGGATCTGGTTCTTTCTGTTATGATCCAAACGTCAGGACCACAGGTGAGGGTTTGCCTTTAACTTATCTCTTTCTTCACCACAACCAACCAAAGCAACACCCTCATTACTTACAATAAGGCCCCAATCCATTGCTCCATCTACCGCTCCATCCTACCATCACTCTTGAACAAGTCACCCAGATACTTGAACTCCTCCACCTGAGGCAAAATCTCCCCTCCGACCCAAAGGAGACATTTCACCTGTTTCTGGTTGAGAACCATGGGCTCAGACTTGAAGAGGAGTTGACTCTCTCACACTAAAGGTCTTGGCCTGAAGATGCCAACAGAATCACATCATCCCCAAAAAGCAGAAACGAGACCAGACGTTCCCAAAGCAGACACCCTCCTCTCCACGACTGCACCTTGAGATCCTGTCCATGGACACCACAAACAAGATTGAGGACAAGGACAGCCCTGGCTGAGTCCAAACTTAACTGAGAATGAGCTCGACTTTGTGCCAAGAATGTGAACACACTCTTGCTTTGGTTCTACAGGGAACGGATAGCCCTTAAATGCAATCTAGGCATCCTATCCTCCTGCAGGCCTAGCTTGCCACCCTGCTTGCATCATGAGACCATCTCAGTCTAAACGCTTGACATCTAACAGTGAGAATGACCTGAGGTAAACAGTGAAGGCAACAAGGCAGCACAGGAGGGACACAGTGTCCTATAGAAGCCTTGTCACAGCCTTGACTTGAACTTCTGGAGCGACCTGAAAATGTCACCACCATCCGCCCCATATAACCAGACTGAGAGGCTTTGCACAGAACGCTGAAGGAAATCCTCCAGTCCAGGTGTGCAAAGTGCTGTGGCTCATTATTGCCAAGGATTAAGGTCATTTGAAATGAGTGCAGCATCAGGTTGCAAAACATTTTTTGCGGTTTTAAAAATAACAAAAGCATTTAATTCCACAATTATGAAGGGTTCATATGTACATACTGTAAATTATAATGACTACTGAAGCTGTAAAACAACTTGATACAACAGAAGTCCTGCTGTGAGCTCTTGAACTTACCCTCAGAGCAGCAATATCTGACGGGAAGCCATGAATGATGAGCACCATCTCCCTGACCAACACAAGAGCAGAGTATAAATTAAACCCAGATGGTTTTTCACAGATCATACCGTGCATGAAGGCACACAGCCCATCATCTTTAAGGAGCTGTCACCATGGTCCTCTCCCGCTGGTCCTCTTGGCTCCCCCTCTGTGTCTCCCGGCGTTGTGTTGTCCGATCCGCCGCTCCGGGTTCACGGTGAAACCAATGTAGATACGACCTTTGAATTTGGGGTTTGTGCAGTACAGCATGTACACGCCAAAAAAACTTTCAACCTCTACTACCATAGTAAAGAAAATCCTGGCACATCTATTATTTAAAAGTAAGCTGGAAATAGTATTAGATAACCACAGTCACACAGCGTAATTATCAACAAAGTCCATGCTCAATAATCCAGGTATACAATCCAACATTTTTTAGTCAGGTCAGTGTATTTATGTTGGGCGGCTACCGTTTTAGGGGGCTAAAAAACTGCCTGATCAAAAAAAGCAATTTCAAAGGACACTTTAGTTTTACTTGAGTATCTAAAACGATCGTACTACATAAATCAAACAAATAAAATAATCCCGCTAATTTACTAAATAATACGGATCACATATTTTATGTAGTTGTAATCACAGAAAGTATTTCGTTCGGCTTTCCACAGGGACTCCTAATATTAGGATCGCTATTTAAAAAAACGTTTCCGGCCCTTGCTGCGCTGTGATTGGTCAGTGTTGTCATTCTGCGCTGTGATTGGTCATAGTTGCCATTGCCGCAATTCTATTGGACAGATTTTCGGACCCTCGTGACGTAATGCGACCCGGCACTCGTGAACGTGCAGCACAAAAACTAAACACCTCTTAAGGTAGCTTTTTTAAATATTTGGAAATGTAAACTTAACAAAAAAAAAAATCGAATTTGAGTGATTGAAAACGTAAACTTTTAGAACACCGAACGGGTTCCGGTGACAGCCGTCGGTCTACGTCTCATTTTAGACATTAACAGGTGTGCTAATAGCTAAACATTTAACGAGTCAATGTTTATGTATTTATTTGTTGCAGACATGGCAGTGACAGCTGATCACATCCGGGATACGCTGATTAAAGAGCTCGCGGCTGTGCATGTGGTAGGTTTTTAATATTATTAGATTTTCAAGACTCCGTTTTAATTTTAATGCTATTTATTTGGTTATTTCCAGCATTTAGTGCAATAAATGCAGAAACTAAAAATATTATTAAGTCGCAAAAGTTAAAACACTGACTGACTTATGTCTTTTGTCTTTGGTAAGGCACAAATCACAGTCCAGTACCCTGCTTAACAGTTTCAGTTTGAATTGCTCAGAAAAACGATTTCCCCTTTTGACTGGGAGTGAGTTAAATATCTGCACGATCATCATCTATCTGCTCGACATCCAAAAAAGTTCAGTCTGGTCCTCTGGACATTCAAAAAAAACAAAAAACAAAGCAAAACAACAACAAAAATGTAGAAACGTTTCGTCTCTCATCCAAGAGACTTCCTCAGTCTGAGGTGCTGTATTCAGCACAGTCTCTTAAATAGCACCTTCTCAGAGTGGATCAACCAGTTTGCTGCTGACAACCAAAACCAGCTGCTCACATGCTCAAGAAGGACCATCAGCCTAACAATGGATCATTAGCACACTGATGGCTGTTTACTGTTCACAGAGGGCTGAGTGATACTAGCAATCACTGCATTGTAAGAGGGGGACAGTTGAACCTGGAGGCCTCCACCCCTGTTTAATGATGGACGATTTATTTTCACAAAGATGGCCTCCTTTACTCCTCTCTCAAACCATCGTTCCTCTCTGTCCAGGATGTGAACATCTTCATCCCTGAAAGAGTGACCGCTGGCCTGGAGATGAGTGTAGACCGCAGAGTCCTGGCCTGATGATGTTGATCTTCTGTGCTGGGCCATCCTTTTGGCCAGTGGCTGTTTTCTTTCCCCGATGTAAGACTGATCACCCTCCTGACACTGAACAGCATACACAACATTACTCTGTTTGTGCCGGGGGACTGGATCTTTGGAATGAACCAGTCTTTGCCGTAATGTATTTTGGGGTTTAAAAGCCACTGGGACGTTATGTTTAGAAAATAAATGTCTCAGTTTCTCTGATACTCCCTCAACATATGGAATGACCACTGGTCTGGGTCTGGGTTCCTCCTTTTCACCTGATGGCTGACTGGAGTCCTGTTTGGGTTTCTTCTCTGCTTTTAGGAAGGCCCAGTTAGGATATCCACATTGCTCTAGAGCCTGTCTTGTGTGGGATTTCTCCTTCTGCCTGGCTCCTGAGCTAGTGGGGACGCTGTCTGCTCTGTGATACAGAGTCCTGATGACTCCTAACTTGTGCTCCAAAGGGTGATGGGAGTCAAACTGCAAATACTGGTCTGTGTCTGTGGGTTTGCGGTACACCTCAGTTTGCAAATGTCCTCTATCAGAGACTGAGACCTCACAGTCCAAGAAAGCCAACCTGCCATTTTTTTTTATCTTCTCGTGTGAACTTGATGTATTTATCCACAGAGTTGATGTGGTCAGTAAAATGTTGGACTTCCTGAGATTTAATTTTAACCCAGGTGTCGTCAACATACCTGAACCAATGACTTGGTGGTGTCCCTGAAAAGGACGTCAAGGCTCTCTTTTCTACCTCCTCCATGTACAGGTTGGCAACAATAGGAGAAACTGGAGACCCCATAGCACACTCATGTTTCTGCCTATAATATTGCTCCCCATATGTGAAGTAGGTTGACTGCAGGCACAGTTTCAAGAGTTGACACAGTTGTTCTGTGGAAAGTGTGGTCCTGCTGCTCAGAGTGGTGTCTGATTTTAATATTAAACTGACCACCTCTACTGCATCATCAACAGGATGAGCATGTAAAGAGTGATGTGACATCAAAAAAGACCATTGTTTCATCAGTCTCTGAATACAGCAGCTCAGACTGAGGAAGTCTCTCGGATGAGAGACGAAACGTTTCTACATTTTTTTGTTGTTTTGCTTTGTTTTGTTTTTTTGAATGTCCAGAGGACCAGATTTAACTTTTTTAGATTTTTCTACCTGGATTATTGAGCATGCATCAGGACAGAAGCCTTAAGGTTCATTAAGATTTAACTTTGCAAAACAAAGCCACACTCTCCTGTTTTTTCCTTATTTAATGTAGTGGTACCTGAGGCTCAGCAGAAATCTTCCAACTGGAAGTCATCAAAGTGAGATTAATGGCTTCAGTTCATACTTTTGCCACTTTGTACTTTTGGAGTTTTAGTCACTGCTCTCACATACTGTCTTGAGTACTTTGTACACACTTTGGCAGCTTCCTCAGCATTGATGACTCTATCTACCAGGGTACTATCAAAAATACTGTGGTTTGATGGTCAGCCGATGTTTGCCTAATCCCTAACCTTTAATTTTAATCTCATAGCACTAGCTAGACAAGGACACTTAAGCATGGAATGGAGTCGGAGGTAACGATATGAACCAGCTCTCGTGACAAATAGCTGTTGAGAAAGACACTTTGAAGTGATTTGACGGAGCACTGCATGGTTTGACCTCAGGGTCAGTTTATTAAGACGTCCACTTCCGGGAATATTCTCAACTGCTTTAAAGACTTCACTTGAATCATCTGGAGTGTTCAGTGTGTCTTTGACACTGGGGACATTTTCGTCTAAAACAGTGTCTGTCCCCTAAAAAAAGTGTCAGAGCTCTGAACTAGATGTTTTTGCTGTCTTATCTCAGCTGATGTGAGGATTGACCATCCATCTATCGTCTTTACCTGCTTCTTCCTTTCTGGGTCACAGGGGTCACTGGTGCCCATGTCCAGCAATCACTGTGCGAAAGGTGGGGGACACCCTGGACAGGTCTCGGTCCATCACAGGGACACATAGAGACAAACAACCATTCACTCTCTCACTCACACCTACGGACAATTTAGAGTTACCAATCAGCCTAACATGCATGTTTTTGGTCTGTGGGAGGAAACTGGAGAAAATCTTCTTCACTGAGAGGCAACAGCTCTACCAACTGAGCCACCGTGCCGCCCAGGATTGATCTTGATTTATTTATTTATTTATTTTATTTTTCAGGACGTTGAGGACACCTCCCCAAACAGATGTGCAACCAGTTTCAAAGTCCTGGTGGTGTCGCCCCAGTTTGAGGGGAAGCCACTGTTACAGAGACACAGGTACAACACCCCGGTGTTACTGGAGACACTTTTATTGTCATTTTATTCAGCTGCTCTCATATGTTCACTTCTGTACGTCAACTACAACCACAACTCCAACAAAGTTAGGACGTCATGTAAAATATAAATACCAACAGAATGCAACAATTTTCAAATCTCAAACCCACATGTTTACTGTCTCTGTGGAGCACAGTAAACATCAAATGTTGAAAGTATGAATTTGTACGACCTTTTGGAACGAATAAGATCTTTTCATATTTGATGGTATCAACAGATCTAAGCAGAAGTTGGGACGGCATCATGTTCTCCACTGGAAGGCATTTCCTTTTCTTTTAACAACTGTGTGCACATTTTCTGCATTGATGGAGGCTTTCCAAATGTAAGCTGCTCATGGCAGCACAATGTACCCCCATACCATCAGAGAGGCTTGTTTTTTTTTGTGTGTGTGTTTATTTTACTGTACAGTGATAACAGGCTATGGCGGTCCCTCTCCTCTTTAGTACAGAGGACATGTGAATCTGAAAAAAATAAAAAAATGACTGACCTCAGAACTGTTCTCCAGTTCTTTCAGTCCATCTGAAATGGTTCTGGTCCAGAGCAGACGGCAGAGGTTCTGGATGGTGTTCACATTCTTCTTTTGCCTGGTAGAGCTTTAAGTAGCATTTCTGGATGAACTGTGTTTACAGTTAAGTATTTTCCATACTTGCGTGTGTTTGTGTGTGTGGGGGGTAGGCCTGTTGCGATAAACAATAAATTAATTGATTGCATGATAAATTAAAATTTATCAACCTCATTTTCATTTATCCACCTTATTGTTTCCTCGTGTCTCTCTCTTTCTGCTGAAGACAACGGTTGATAAAAGACTCAACTCTGGTGCTCTTCACTGACCCCTCCCTTTCTCTTTAAAACTGGTTTTAACCGTCCAAAATCAAGTTTTTGGATCGTTAAAAGTAGCTAAGCTGAAAAGCTAAACTAACAGACCGACCTCGGGGTTAAAACTCTTGTCTTGTCAAGCTCCAAAATTCACAGTTAAAACCTGTGCCTTTGTGCAAAAACTTGTTTTTCTCTGTAAAAAGAAGCCGAGAACTTGTTTACTCATTTTTTTTAATTAAAAGCTTTGTGTGAAAAATGCTATGCTAAAGAGCTCAAACCACCGAGTGTCCGCCATGTCAGCCCATGTCACGTCAAGGGCCCTCCCTCCCATTTTTCTTAAAGAGACACGCTGCTCAACTATCCATCCTTTGGTTCAAACTGTCTTATACTGCCATCAGGTGGTCAAAAAAGGTACTACACACCAAACAAATCAACATTTCTTCTAAAATTTGACAATTAATTATTGTTAAATTTCAAACAATATTATCGTTTATTTCAATAATTTCTGAGACAGAAATTTGTTATCGTGACAGGCCTAGGCGTGGTGTCTGAGACACGCTTGTGTTGCATGCTGTTTGTACATACAGTTTGTGAGCGCATAGGCATGGGAGGTGAAGTCGGCTAAGCGTGAGGGAAACCGAGCTTTTTAGCATTGTGCAAGGCTAGCTTAGCGCTACGTCACTGTCAGCAGTTGGTGACGGGGTGAGATGTTCAGTTTGGTTTGGTAGGCAGGGCACTTGGTTCTGTTAACAGGGCGGGCCCTGCTTGTATAATGGAAGGGGAAACACTGGAAAATGATCTGTGAAAGTTTTCCTGAGCCTAGAACAGAACCAGACCTGGTTTTAATGCAGTGGCCCCCGAGGGCTCGAACATCATGGCCGTCCAATTTTTACAGATTCTTCTAATCTGTTGATGATAATAATAATAATAATAATAATAATGTGTATGTTTGTCATCGTACAAACCAGATTCCAAAAAAGTTGGGACACTAAGCAAATTGTGAATAAAAACTGAATGCAATGATTTGGAGATGGCAAATGTCAATATTTTATTTGTAATATAACATAGATGACAGATCAAAAGTTTAATCTGAGTAAATGTAAAATTTTAAAGGAAAAATATGTTGATTCAAAATTTCACAGTGTCGATAAATCCCCAAAAAGTTGGGACAAGTAGCAATAAGTGGCTGGAAAAAGGAAATTGAGCATATAACGAAGAGCTGGAAGACCAATTAACACTAATTAGGTCAATTGACAACATGACTGGGTATAAAAAGAGCTTCTTAGAGTGTCAGTGTCTCTCAGAAGCCAAGATGGTAAGAGGATCACCAATTCCACCATTGTTGCGCAGAAAGATAGTGCAGCAATACCAGAATGGTGTTACCCAACGTAAAATAGCAAAGACTTTTAAGTTATCATCATTAACCGTGCATAACATCATCAAAAGATTCAGAGAATCTGGAACAATCGCTGTGCGTAAGGGTCAAGGCCGTAAAACTCTACTGGATGCTCGTGATCTCCGGGCCCTTAAATGTCACTGCACCTCAAATAGGAATGCCACTGTCAAGGAAATAACAGAATGGGCTCAGGAATACTTCCAGAAAGCATTGTCAGTGAACACAATCCACCGTGCCATCCGCCGTTGCCAGCTGAAACTCTACAGTGCAAAGAGGAAGCCATTTCTAAGCAAGCTACACAAGCTCAGATGTTTGCACTGGGCCAGGGGTCATTTAAAATGGAGTGTGGCAAAATGGAAGACTGTTCTGTGGTCAGATGAGTCACGATTTGAAGTTCTTTATGGAACACTGGGACGCCATGTCATCCGGACCAGAGAGAACAAGGATAGCCCAAGTTGTTATCAACGCTCCGTTCAGAAGCCTGCATCACTGATGGTATGGGGTTGCATGAGCGCTTGTGGCATGGGCAGCTTGCATGTCTGGAAAGGCACCATTAATGCAGAGAACTATGTTCAGGTTCTAGAACAACATATGCTCCCATCTAGACATCATCTCTTTCAGGGAAGACCCTGCATTTTTCAACACAATAATGCCAGACCACATTCTGCATCAATCACAACATCATGGCTACGTAGGAGAAGGATCCGGGTACTGAAATGGCCCGCCTGCAGTCCAGATCTTCCACCTATAGAGAACATTTGGCGCATCATAAAGAGGAAGGTGCGACAACGAAGGCCCAAGACGATTGAACAGTTAGAGGCCTGTAGTAGACATGAATGGGAGAGCATTCCTATTTCTAAACTTGAGAAACTGGTCTCCTCTGTCCCCAGACGTCTGTTGAGTGTTGTAAGAAGAAGGGGGGATGCCACACAGTGGTAAAAATGGACTTGTCCCAACTTTTTTGAGATTTGTTGACGCCATGAAATTTGGAAACAACAGATTTTTCCCTTAAAATGATACATTCTCTCAGTTTAAACTTTTGATCTGTGATTTGTGTTCTATTCTGAATAAAATATTAGATGTTGGCACCTCCACATCATTGCATTCAGTTTTTATTCACAATTTGTTTAGTGTCCCAACTTTTTTGGAATCCGGTTTGTATGTTTCCATACAATGGGGAAATTGTCTCTTTGTATGAACCCATCCACCACCCGGTGGAGCAGTGGGCAGCTATGTAAGCGCCTGGGGAGCATTTTGGGGATAGGGTGTGCTGCTCAGAGACACCACGAGATGTGCAATGACTGGGGATCGAACCTGGGACTTGTGGGTCCCGAGTCGGTTGCCCTGCCCCTACCACATCTCTGCCCCCTGACCTTATGAACTGCAGATGATGGGATATTTGTAGTCTTCTCAATTATTTTGTTTAGGAACACTATTCTGAAATTGTTCCAATATTTTTTATTAGACAATTGTTTTTTTCTAAGCTGGTGAACCTCTGCCCATATTTATTTCTATTTTCAATTCAGTTTATTTATATAGCATTAAACCACAACAGAAGTTGTCTCGGGGCACTGAACAGAAACATTCACATATATACAAAAGCCAATTAGTAAAAGTTCTGTATGTAAGGAAGGACTTCTCAGAGACTCAGCCTCTGTAAAAAGCTTATTTCTACATCCAGTCCTCTGAGCTGCTGATAACTAACCTGATCAGTTTCAAGATGTTCTGTCAGCTGCTTCCTGTTTTACACACATTTAGTTTGGCGCTCCTCTCCCAACTTCTTCACAGTGTTTCTGCCACAATATTTCTAATTTCCTTATCTCTTTCCTAAAAAGACAAGATAGCTTTATAATTCCAGACAAGCCTGCTCCTGTGTAGTTGTCCTGTTAAGAAACTGTTTAAGTTTGTGAGCTTGCGTTAATAAACTGGCAGTATAATGGTTGTGGTAAAACTCCCCGTCATGCTCACGTCTAATGGTTTCAGAAGTCTTCTCTGCTCTCCTGTCAACACAGATGGTTTCCCTCTAGTTTGGCTCGTTGTAAAGTCTAAACTCGTGTGCTGTGTTGGCAGGATGGTGAATGCTTGTCTTGCTGAGGAGATGAAAGAAATCCACGCTTTCGAACAGAAGACCCTCACACCGGAACAGTGGGAGAAGCAGAAGCAACAGTGACGCATGCGTGCACCGTATCACGTTCCCATCTTTTTGTTTCTCCTCAAATAAAACTGGTTTTAACACGTTTTTCACATATAGAATAAAACTTGACCTGTGATTCATGTACATGTCACTGTTCAAATAAACCTGTTGCTGTTGGTAGTGTGCCGTTGTTTGCTGCACTCGAAAGGACCGTTTCAGGTTTTCAGTCATAACAAGTTTGAATTTTTTAATTCAGATGTAGATCTGAGATGGAACAGAATGAAAGGTAACATGTTTCAAGTCCTGCTGATTGTTTTACACAGACTGTGGCCGTTCACCGTTTTTCAAATCAAAACTCAATGAACCACATTCATGAAAACACCCAGATCCATTCATAGAAAAAGTCAGATGCATCCTTGTCGGCAGTAAGTAGTGACTGAATGTAGCAACAGGTCCGCACAGAGCACCCCCCCACCACCACAGTGTCCCGTAGGGAACGTGATCGAATGCCTTCTCAAAATCCACAATACATGTGTAGACTGGATAGGCAAACTCCCATGCACCCTTGACGACCCTAGTGAGGGTAAAGAGTTGATCAGTGCTCCACAACCAGGATGGAACCTGCATTGTTCCTCCTGGACCTGAGGTCTGACCATTGACCTTTTCTCCAGCTCCCCTGACCACCAGAGAGGCTGAGGGATGTGATCCTCCTGGTTACTGAAACACCCTCTGGTCCCCCTGTTTGTCAGTGCCCAGGTATCACCATGACCCAATTTAGTCCAGTCTTCAACTCTAGAATCATTTGGAGAATGCTATGAACCAAATCAACATAGCTTGACAAATACAATAACTAATAAAAAATGTGCACGCGTTATAACTGTAGTTCTGGTGTTACTTTCTAACAGTAACGCAGACTTTCTGCTTTAGCACGTCGCTACAAAAAGGATTGTTCCATTCATCGTTTGATGCTTTCTACACTCAAAATATACAAAAAATAAAGCACGTGAACATAAAACCTTCTGCTGTAGTTCATTCATAAAAAACAGCTGGTTGGAGCCAATTCATAAAGAGTAAAAAAAGAGACTAGAACAAGAAACACTGTTGTCACAATACATTGAAACGAGATGTTTACTGACATTTATCCAAACCTCTTAGCCGGGCTCAAAGAGATCCTCCTTTATTGAAAACTTCAGTTTCACACTTCCAGCTCAATGAGGCTAAGATGGAAATCTTGATTCACAGCACAGCCCCTCAGTGCTGCGGCTGCAAAACGAGTCCCAACCATCAGCGTTTCAGCCCCGTGCTGACAGCTGTATGAGGTGTTGGAGCTCCTGACCTGGACTTGTGCTGAGCTCAACTGAACTGAGAAAAGAATGAATCAGTTCATAAAGTGATTCGGTTCAGTTTGTTGTTCCCACAAAAGATTCATTCATTTGAATGAATAGTTCGTGGACAGAAGAGCACGGTGGAGAATATAACAACAGTCAGGTCTCTCTTGTCCTCGAGGCTCATTGAGACTAACCTGAAGAAATAAAGGTTGAAAGAATGAATATGAAAATGGCGCCCACATAACTCAAATAAATTGTGTACACCATCATGTTAACACTGTTCCCAAATTACTGAACTGCTTGATGAAAATGAAGCTGTCAGGATGCACGCAGGTCTAAAACTTTTTAAATCTTTTTGATTTAAGAAAGGCTGCTGAAACCACCTCAGAAAACACAAGAAGGACTAACAACATTATTTTTAGACATACTGACCAGACAGGGCGGCTGTGGCTGAGTGGTTAGAGCAGTTGTCCTCCATTACAAGAGTTGGGGGTTCGAATCCACCAGCAGTCACATGACAGTGTCCCTGGGCAAGACACTGAACCCCTCGTTGCCTCTGATGTGTGTCCCATCAGTGTATGAATGTGATAAAGCACTGATTAGTCTCTTTAGAATGATTTGTTCAATTATCTTTGTAGAGATCTAGTAGAGTGCTGAGTAAATGAGGACACTGGTGTTGTAAAGAGCTTTGAGTATCTTGAAATAAGATAGAAAGGTGCTATATAAATACAGCCCATTTACAGTTGGTATGGTAGTAGCTGACAGTGATTCCCAACACATACTGAAAGCTAACTTAAAATTCAAGATGGCTATCAAATCTAATTATAAAAAAATGGCTATAGGTTCTTCATTTTTTGACATATTAAGCTTAAATTTAGTATGGTAATAACCAAAAGCACTCCATAATTCATACTGTATGCTAATCAGAAATTCAAAATGTCCGTCTTACTTTAAAAAATGACTATACCTCTGCCATTTTTGACATACTGAGCAAAAATTTGGGATGGTGGTAGCCAACACCCACTTAATACTAGTGTTCAACATGGCTGCCACAGCTAATACTAAAATGGCAGTAACTTAGTCTTTAGACATATTAAGCTAAACGTTTTTGTTGTGGTAGCCGAGAGCCGCCCTCAATACATACAATCAAAATGTCAAGATGGCTGCCAAAGCTACTGCGAAAACTCTGTCATTTCAAATTCAAATTCAAAAATACTTTATTAATCCCAAAGGGAAATTAAGTGTTGTTGTAGCTCATCATCCTGGTTCCATTCAAGAGTTATAGATGCTGATAGCTGTGGGCAGGAAGGATCTCCTGCAGCAAATCCGAAAAATCTGGCCACAGATACTGATCCATCCACCTGGATCCAGCTTGCTGTCAGATCCAGTGGGCCTCTCGATCCTCCTGGGCAGCAGGACTGCCCGAATGCCGGACAGAATTCCTCCCTGAGCGATGGTCACTCCTCCCAGCAGTGTGCCGAGCTCCTCGTTGCGACGGACAGACAGCTGAAGGTGTCAGGGGATGATCCCGGTCCTCCCATTGTCACGAGACGAGTTTTCCACCAGCTCCAGGATTTTGGCGGTCAGTTACTTGAGCACTGCCGCCAGGTTGACAGGAAATGGTCCACGGCGCCTCCTTTTCTACTAATTTGGGATTTGTGGCTGTAGTTGAGGTAATAGAGCTTTAGCCATTAGCCATTTTTAGCCATTAGGTTTTTGTGGTAGCTAAAAACAACCCCCAAAATGCTTTGAGTCATTTTAATTCAAGAAAGGGTTAGGGTTGTTGTTGTTGTTTTCTCCACTATGGCAGTGTGCTTTTTGTGAGACTCGGTTTGTTTGGTGGCTCCTCAGACTGAAGAAGTCCTTTGGATGAAGGACAAAACGTCTCAGCAAAAACAGAAACCATCCAGATGACCTGATTGATCATTAATAGTGTTACAGCTGTCACCTTTCAGCTAGAAGTTGATGGTAATCTCAGGAACATACGGTATAACTGAAGTAAACAAAAAACGGGAGTCTAACAAACAAAACTTTCACCTTTGACGGAAATTTGGTTATTGTTTAAAAATATACAATAACATATTTGTATTGTATGAATGATTGTCTTTAATAACAACCATCCAGCTGGTGGATAATCTCCCACTGTGAATAAAGCCTGGCATAAAGTCCAAATAACTTGTTCCCAGGAAGAAACATCACAGAAATCTGATCTTCATGAGACTGAAGGCTCAACAGGATCCCTGTGAGGAGTGGTTTTAGCAGAAATCAGCTGGTGGTGGTTGAACTAATGGAAGCTAATTGATGGATTCACTCGGCTCAGCCACCTCAGCGCACATGTGAAGATGAAGAAGACTTTCTGTGAGTGGTGTCAGCTCCTGCAGACAAATCAAGCAGTTTAATCCACCATCAGTCAAACAGCACAAGGATGCTTCACTGATTTATTTTCTAACTCCTGAGACAGCAGGGGATAGTTTTGTTGGACTATGGACTATGGATGCATATTTTTAGATGACTCATTTTAAACATTTATTAATTTACTGGGTTTTTTTGTGGGGGGGGGGGGGGGTAGTGAACAAGTTGCTTTAAAAGCTGATGTTTAAGTTAAACTACTCTTGAAAACAAGCAACACGATCAACAAACTGATGTACCTGACTGAACATTGCTGGAGCTTTACCTGGATGATTGAGCATGAACTACTGTATACTGAGTACATTAAGGCGTAAATACTCTTTAGATTGCACTGAAGCTGGGAACGCTTCCATTTTCTGTTGTCTTTTTGTCTTTAAAATAAATTCAACATTTTCATGTCAAATGGTTTGTTTGTTTGTTTGTTTGTTTCATGGAGAAACGGTTACAGCAAGTGGTGATTTGGTTTTATTATGCAGACTTTTGTCAAATACAGTCATAAACAAGTGAAATGTTGTCCCCCATTGCTGGGGATTTGAATTGTGAATGTTTGTAGTTTTCAATTGGACTAGAAATTAACAAGGAATGTGAGTAAACCTAAATGTTTTTGGTGCAAAGTATTCACATGTGTAGGAGTTACACTGTGGAGAAGAACAGAAGGTTTTTTTATGTATCCGAGGCAGGGTGACAGATAGTGGTGAGTGGAAGGAGCAGTTTCAGCCGCCACCGGGTGCAGTGGTGGAGCCAGGGGGTGGCCAATGGTGGCCTTGGCCACCATAGATTAATTTTTGCCCAAACACCCCACCCCAATCTTTTGAGGAAACTATCCTTTAAAACAATATAAAAACTAGAAATCATAGTTTCCATAAATTATATGGATGGCTGGTTTACAGATATATATGGTGGTGGCCATCTTGGATTTTGACATGGCAACCCAATTTTAAAAAGTGACCTTTCTTACACCTAATGTATATGCAGCCACAAATAAAAGTCGATACCTCTTACCTTTCAACATATCATGCTCACAACATGCACAGACAAATGGAGGGAGGGCATTTCCAAATCCCCCTCTTTGCTGCATGACAGAAGACAAAAAAGCAAACAACAACAAACACTTGAATAAAATATCTCCTTTGTGTGATTCACTTTTGGTTCATCTACTTTATGCTCCAAATAATAAATTACTCTGTTCAAAATAACAGAGCTAAAGTCAAAGTGCTCAGCAATGGAAAAATATGAGCATTGGTCTTACTGGTGAGCAGCTTCACTCCCACCACACACACTCCCAGTGTGTTCACGCCAGTGAACCCCCCCCCCCCACACACACACACACACACACACACACACCAGCTCTTGTATTAACAGCCCTTGGGAG